TAGGAAGAGTCGCGACAAGGGTGTTGTCGTTGCAGCTCGGGGACTCCTCCAACTGTACCGAGAGGTTAACCCTGGTTTATTGAAAAGACGTGAGAGGGTATGGAGCTATGCATATAGTTAAACCCCAACTGACAATTTAAATGTAGGGTAAAACTGCAAGTATGGGTATTTCTTCAGGGGTAAAACCTCTTCCATATGGACATCAAAGGGACGCCGCTGTCGATATCGACGGATTGGCTGTAAGTCCTTTCAACCAGGAAAAATATCACCACTAATCATCTTTCTAGCTCTTAGAGGATCATCTCAACCAACGCAAGGCAGAAGAAGGCTTAGATGCTGACATGGTGGAGAACAGTGGTGACGAGAGGGGATGGGAAGGATGGGATATAGATTCTGACGACTCTTCTGAAGAGGAGAGTGAAAATGGGTGGATAAACGTGGAAAGCGATGGCGAAGAAGCCTTCGATATGAGCGATAGCGAAGACGACTCGGCGAAGAAAGCAGCACTATCTGAGACTGTGCAACAAAACGACACACCAGTGATCCAGCAAGAAAAGCGCATTTCTATACTTGCAACGACCAAAGTCAGTGACCATACTACCCTGTCACTTGTTCCTGACCATATATACTTCCTGTAGATTCTGACACCCGCGGATTTTGCTTTGTTACAAGAGCTACGGCTAAAGGAGGCCCAGAAAGCTGTAGAGATGGGTGGAGGCTCACAGTCTAAACGAAAGCTTGCGCTTCTTGAGGCACAGAAAAAGGCTACCGCCATGGTTGTTGATGATCACGACGGCGAGGTTATTACCGAAGCTACTATACTTGGTCCCCGCAAAAAGGCCAAAGCAAGCTACGAGGAGCGAATGGCATCGATAGCCAAGGGACGTGAAGGGCGAGAGAAATTTGGAAGTTACAAAGGCAAGAAGAGGAAAGCAGCATTAAGCAGCTCCACAAATAGGGAGAAGAGTCGAAATAAGCCTGTCATGATGGTCCGTCAAAGTAGTGCTGTGAGGGCGAAGAAGATGGCAGGGTTGAAAGACAAACAGAAGAGAATCAGGGCACACATTGAGAGGGCTAAAAAAGCTTATCATTAGGCAGTTATTTATGCTATTCTTTTACTAGACTTTAGCCGTCCTGTAAGGGTTGCCTTGATTGCATGGGCGTTCGTGACATTTTCTTGAATAGGTGTGGCGACTGCTTTGTCCCGAGTCATACCTTTCGACCACTCTTGGTCCATTTGTTCGAAATGTCGACCACAGAACCTCCAAATCCTGCAAATCCTGCACCAGTAAATGAAAATGCTCCCGGAGAACAAATTTCAGCCAAAAAACCGATGACCAAAGCAGAGAGGCGTGAACTGCAGGAGCGACAGAGAGCTGCCAAGGCGGCAGCAGCAGCATCTGGAGGAGGACCTAAAGCTTCTCAATCACAAAAACCCAACACTGGTCAAAATCAAAACCCAAAGCCAGCATCAAAAGCAGGGCATCAAGCCAATGTACCGTCATCGAGCCATCCTTCTCAGGTTGCATCCACTCACAAGAAAGCGAATGTAAAGGCGGGCAAGGATGCTGAAACGACAGGCTTTGGGATGGGCTCCGTAGAAAGATCGGATAAAGCAGCCGATCTAGAGGCTCAGCGAAGGCACAATACGAGAATATTTGCCCATTTTGCAATACCAAAGAAGGAAGGGGGTATCGGTGCTGGTATAAAAGGTGATATACACCCAGCAATTGTTAGGCTTGGACGGCAATTTGCAGACATGACCATTGTCGGAGCTAATGCTCGTTGCATTGCCATGCTGGTCGCTTTCAAGACGGTCATACAAGACTATGTGACACCTCCAGATGCGGCTGCTGCCGCCTTGGCAGCTCTCTGTCGCTCCTGCAGTTC